AATATCCTCTTCAGAACTCTTCCTTTTCTAAAAATCTCTTCTCATCTGAGTACTCTGCAAGTCACTCTCAATTCTTCTTGCCCTCTCAACCAAGGTAGCATAATCCTCAATGCCAAAAAAGATTAATGGCTGTCTAATGGCATTCTTCAAACCAGACAAGAAACGATGGCATTTCTATTCTGCATTGGGTATCATATTTGAGGCATACCTGGAAAGTCTAGTGAACTCAGACTCATACTAAGTAATAGTTTTATCACCTTGCACCAATCTATTGAATTTATCTTGCATCTGCCTCCTAGCAGACATTGGTACATACCAGTCTCTAAACACCTTGACAAACTCCTCACAGGTCACTTGGCTGCTAGGTCTTTCTCCAAAAGTCTCTTCTAATTGGCTCCTCCACCATCTCTCTGCTTCCCCATTGAAGGTATAGGCAGCTAAAATAACCCTTCTATCTTGAGGGCATAACATTCCTTCCAATATCTTCTCAATCCTTATTAACCAGTCCTCCGCCTCTATGGGTCCACCTCCTACGAATGATGGAGGCTTCATGTCTTGGAATAATTTTAGGTTTTTATCCATCGGAGTGCTTCCACTGCCTCCAGCCTGAGTCTGAGTACTATTCGAAGGCTCTGCTATTACAGGTATTTCCCTCCTAATCTCTCCCGTAGTGCCATCAGTGGCTTCATTTTCAGGATCCATTGCTCTGAGATATAACCAATGAAATAAAATTAGCAGTCTATAACACGCATACCCTATACTTTAACTAACCTAGAGAATCATCCTATTGGCTCTTTCATATTGATCAATATTCTTAAACCTTTGCTCTGATACCACACTTGTCATGGCTCGGTTAGCTCGTATAGACGAGGCGGGAACGGAATCGGACGGTAGGTTAAATTATTTAATCTCTAAATCTATCTCCATAATAATTTGAAAAAGCCTTTAAAACATCAAATTTGAAATCACATAAACATAAAATCAAATATATTCATAATTACCTTTCTTCTGGAGCTCCTCTCCTACGATAAACATTGTCACCCCTTCTACTTATTTTTGATTAATTTAAGCTTACCTGAAAAATGTTAACAACTAACATTAAGCCGAAGCTCAGTAAGTAAAACACAATTCTAAACTACAGTAATCAAGACAACTGCGTAATATGTTGGATGTCAAATTCATATGAACATAACATAAAAATAATTTCATACTAATATAACATTAAACATATCATATCATAAAGCTGTATTTTTCATTTTATTTCCATATTCATATCAATATACTTAGCTTTCTCATTTCGTATATATTACAACCGTCACAGGAGCCACCGTCTAGTACCATAAAGGTACTACTTTGCCATTTCTTTTTTCATATTAACGTGCACGAGTACAACGTCCCCAGCTAGTACCATAAGGGGGCGAGCTCCATCTTTTCAGCATGCATAAACAAGCATTCAATATAACATTCATATCATCTCATATCATTTCATTTCATCATATTTCTATAATACATTATTTTTGCATAATAAAGTCACAAGATGTATCATATAAATTTCATGATCAAGATTGGACAAGAGTGAATATTTTCTAAACATGCTTGATCTAATAATCATATAACTAGAGAGAAACAGAATTTTTTACTGTAAATAAAGAAACATGCATACTTACAGAAGTTAGGATTTCAATTTCTCTTTTCTAATCCTCCTTCCTTCGAGGCAATCACAAATAACACCTATAAGAATAAATTTCTCCTTCAAAATTATTTATAAAAAATCTAAATTAATGTTCTAATTCTATTCCTAATCTACCCTAAGCTCTTTCTCTCTTTCTCATTTAAAACATAAGGCATAAAAAAAATCTAAAATCTCATATTTTGGTCTATTTATTTATTTTAACCTAATTAAACCTTCACCCTAACATAAAATTATTTAAACTATTTTCTATTTTTGGATTTGCCTAAAATCCAAATTTTTGGAAACATGATTTTTGATTATTTTCATTATATTTTTTTGTGAAAACCTTTTCATTATTAAATTAATATTTAGGTATTTTCATTTTCGGATTTAATTTAATAAAAAAATTAGAAAAATAATATTTCATGAAAATTCATAATTCCTACTCTTAAAAACTTCCTTAAGACCCATAGAAATATTATACATTAAGGAATTTTATAGAAAACAAAAATTTGCAAAACCCTAACTTTCCAAATCTCAAAAATAGTTTGAGGAAATTTCGTTCCTACAATTAAAACATTTTCCTTGTTCATTTCGTAAAGAAAACTAGGTTTTTATCAAACCCTAGAAAGTTTCTCTTCAAAAAATCTAAGAGAAAAGAATGAATCTTTTTCTTAAAAACTCACCTTAGCCTCCTTGAATCTCCCTCTTTGATTTCCCCCCAAATCCGGCTGCCGGAAATCGCCGCCGGAACCGCACTCCCAAGCCTTGCGTCGCCTCCCGTTCGCCCTTGCTTGTCCACCTCCTACGTTCGACTGAACCATGCGAAATGGGGGAAAGAGGGTTCGATTTTGTTATTTGAGGGAGTAAACAACCCATGCTTGAATAAACATTAGGGGTACTTTGGGTATTATGAGACTTCTCTAATTTTTATTTCCTAAATTAAGCAAGATTAAATATAAGTTTTATATATCAAATTTCTTAGAATTTTACGTAGAATTTTATAAAATTAATTTTGTCGAAATCTGACAACCTTGAAATTTTCACTTAAAACTCGTCGCGACGCATTGAAAAACATGCGAGGTCTAAAACGGCATTTTTCAGGTTTTACATGTACGATGATGAGTATGTCCAAGAGGATGATGCCAACATAGTGTTGAGGGAGTGGCTACAAGTAATGCTTAATGTTGAGATTGCTTTTGGTGAGAGTTGGAGGAGATAAAGACTATTATGACAGTCCCTGGAGAAGAAGGTGCTTTGTTGTCGTATCCTTGATTTGAGAAACAATTGCATTAAAGCACATGGAGATATTATTGTCAATTGTGATATTTCAAATATAAAGTAGGTTTTGGGAAACAGAGGGAACATGAAGTAGATTGGGAAGGGCGAGCTTACGGGTTGAGTTGGGAAGAATGCCTTGGCTTGAGTAAGCGATTGGGAGAGGGCAACGATTATCGATTGTGATTTGATCAGTACCTTCATAGGTAATGGGATGGTGCGTGAGGAGCAGGTTGTTGAGTGGACCTTCCTCAACCTCTATATCATTGGCCTCTAGATATATGAAGGGTGGAATGTAGACCAATTGATGGGTAGTCTTTAATGGTGTTAGCTGCAAGATTGATCTCTTCACTTATTAGCAAGGCATACGAATCTTCCAGGCTTATGGGTGTAAGCTTAGCTCTAATTGGTGTTTTGAATGCTTGATATTGAGGGGGTAAGTCTTTTAGGTGTAGAAGATAATGTCTTCGGTGTTGATTCTGGAATTGATGTCAACGATGTTTTATGTAAGAGTTTTAATTTTGGCGAGATATTGTGTCATGGAGAGTTTCTTCATGGAGATGTTGTGGAGCTCTTTTGTAAGTTGAATCACTCTAAATCTGTTAGAGGACTGTAAAAGATGTTTGATGGTGAGCCAAATTTCACGACAGGAGTCAAGTTGGAGGATGTATGGGAAAATGGCTAGGGTTATGGTGGAGCAAAGTGTTGCTTCGAGGTTTTGATTGTTCAAGAACCATTGATTGTAGTTTGAATTAATTCAGTATTGGCGTCGTGACCTAGACCAAGATGGGGAGGTGTTTCGGCTGTTCTGTCCAGGTAAGGAGCAAAGCCATTGCTCTTAATAGCTCGAGGATTTAGGATTTTGACATGGGATAGTTGTCATTGGAGAGTTGAGTAGGTACATTGGTTTTAATGTTGGAGATAACCAAATTGAGAGAGGAAGGAATGTCAGCTAGTGGGATGTGGTTTCTGAAGTGATATTTCCAGTTTGGGAAGTTGCTGTTTGATCCATCTCAGCAGTTGTGAATGGCCGTAAGGCTAAAGCACTGATACTATGTTGAAGGTTACAATGGCTGGGTCAACTTCTACATGAATAAAATGATGGAGAAGCCACCTTCGCCCCCAACTAATCAACACTGTGAATCACTAATAACATAAGTAATCAAAGCCTTATATGTGTGAAGCAAAAACAATATCTGACCAAATATCAGTGTCCCCAGTTCTTACCCTATATGTATATACATACATGATGAATTGTAAAAGCTGAAGAAACAATTATATAAAAACATCCTTATGACTAAAGTTCTCTCAATTTTTATTTCTTCTTTCAGCTCTCATGGGAGCTTTTAGTCTTTCTTCATCACTGTCCCTGCTTTATAGGTCATGCTATGGTGAGGAGTTGATCCGGCCATTGCAACCTTCAACAGTAATATATATGGTGAATCCCATAACCCCATGGTGTATTTATTGATGTTAGTGATGATGAGCAGTGCAATACCTATAATGTATAAATGGCATGTTAATGATCACTGACAGTGTTTTTGAACTATGGAATGTATTTTGTGTACTTCTGTTGGATCAGAATCATTTTTTTTTGTGATTCTGCTTATACCTTTTTATGATTTCATGATGCCATACTCACATAGTGGGATATGACTTATGACAATGATGATGATTCTATGATGTGGAGAATATTGCATATTTAAGAAGCTACAAATCAGCCTGCTGGGATCAACTTTGTTGGAGGGTGGTCCTTTGTTTTCTTTTGGTGCAATGTCCATGCTAAGCTTATTAGATGATTTTATTGTGCACATCTTTTTGTCATATACGAAGTGCATTTGCATGCTTCACAAACATTGCATCTTCGTATTGCTTGTCCCCTTTATCACGGAATTTCATTTAGTTCAATATCTCATTCAATGCCTCTTCTTCTGGTCCTAATTTGATTGGAATTTGGAACTTCCTCCTCTGATGTACGCTTTTTGCTCTTTATACTTGTTTGATCTATTTGCTCTTGTTCTGATGAAGTTCTTCTTGATTTTTAATGCAGTTTCAAAGTATTTTCTGTTGCTGCGGGTTTGGGGATGTTTATTCTTCTTCCGATAAATTATTTTGGGGACCAACTCCGTGAAACTGATTTCACCGACCTTCAAAACAAATCACTGGACTTGTTCAACATTTCAAATGTAAAGGATGGCTCAAATTGGTAATTGTTATTGAATTTCTGAGTTCATAGCCTTATTGTACTGGACTTGATCAAACAGTTTGAACTGATTGCATAGTCCTTTTTGCTGATTGACCCCTGAAGGATTTTTTATTTTATTTAGAATAGAAGAACTTGCAATTTTTGAATATAAGGTCTTGCTATGAAGAACAAAAAACATACAGTTTTTTAATGTAAGGTTTATCTTCTTTGTAAGTGAATACTGCGAATAGCTGATTTGTGCATAAAGGGGCATGGTTGGTGTGTTTGGTTTCTGTCAGACCTTGTCGTGAATCTCCTATCTGTCATTGCTATTAATCTAGTAGCGAAATGATCTTTATCTTGTGAACATGTTAAACCAAGAAAGCTTTCAAACCCATCGTCCAATAAATTGATGGCATGGTTATTGCATTATTTCTGCTTCCCATGATATTGTCTTTATGAGTTAAAGCAATTATTATGATAGGAAATAATAGTATAAACAGAAAATGATTGCTGAAATCAAATTTTCAGTAATCTCGCCAAGAAGATTTTGAGAATTTAATGGAGGAAAAATAAGAAAAATACTCTTGATTGAATAGTAGATGAAAGAAAATAACAAAATATAATTGATCCTCAATTCGAGAGGAGGATCTATCTCTCTCAAATTTCTAGATACCGTTAGAGCACAAGAACACCTAAGCACCACAAAAACTTAGAAAACTCAAGATATCCCTAATTCTAATGCAAAACTCCTACTTAAACATAATCTCCCCAAATGACAAAGCATCCCTCCCTAATTCAAAATCCTCCTTTTGCCATCCCCCTCTCTCTATTCAAGAAGTGGACCCCACCCCAAAGGGGCGAGCTTTGTTTGGGGTGAAGACAGCATGCTTTCGCCTATTGTAAACTTGGACCAGCCCCTTCTATTGGGCTGGTTGGACCGGTCTAACAATAGCCTCTCAAAGAATCACCTTTTCCTCAAGGTGAAAAGATGGGAACTACTGTTGCACCCTCTCATAGGGCTCCCATGTTGTCACAACTCGACTTGATATGACCCGACATCACACAGGTTATATAGTGTCCGATTGTGGCAAGTCTGGCCACAATCGGACACTATATAGTATTTGATTGGAGAAATACTGAAATAAAACTTCTAATTTACATACTACACAGAACTACTATTGAATGCAATATAATGCGAAAGACTACTGAATCTCAACATGATATTTCTATATATCATTCAAATCATATATAATCTGAAATCTATTTACAACAGTACTTGATAACAGAGAACACAACAAAAAATAAAGCCAATACTGCAAAAATCAAAACTAATCAAAACATACCTACAACCCAGATCGGAGCGTGCTATCCAAACTACTCAGCTCACTCCTTATCATTCTTCGGGCCTGAAAATAAAAGCAAAAGTATGAATGAGCTAACACGACTTAGTAGGCTATCATTACCTAAAACAGAAATCAACAATCAAAATCAAAAGAACTGAAATCATTGTACTGAATCAAATATTGAAATTAAATACAATTAAATAAATACTGAAATGAACTGCATTATAAGCAAATGCTTCACAACATATTCCCACCTCTGTAGCCCATTAGCTTTGACATAACAACACTTAAGTAACATAATCTCACCAGCATAATAGAATCCCACCTTAGTCGCCCACTGACGCTAGCATAATAGAATCCCACCTCGGCCTCTCTCTCTGGTGCCGGCATCACATCACAACACTTTACAATAAATTTTTCAATACATTTCATTAATTAAAGTATAATTAGACTGAATTCAAAAATTGCCTAAATGTCCCAACAGTAGGCAACATAAATACTACTGAGTAAAAATTCATAATTTTCAAACATAATTAAATTACCACAAATTGTGTAAAATATTATTATGAAGCTTTAATTAAACTGAAACTCTATTTTTAGATGTTAAAATAAATTTTTGGGTAAAAAAAAATCACAGTTTTTTCAAAATTACTTGACGAAAAATTTTCAAATATACTCAAAATATTTGTAATTACAATCTCTATAACATATACAAAGTTACGTGGTGAAAGTTTTACCAAAACAAAGTTATCGTTGTTTTTGGGTAACATAAATACAAATTTAATCGAAAAATACCAAAAACTCAAGATTATTGAAATCTGAAATAGGCAAAACGTAACCTAAAAGTTTCCAACTGGGCTGACGAACAAAAATCGCTCTACGGCTGCCAAAATCCATATTCCTTTTTCTCTCACCTATCTTTTCTCTTATTTCTCTCAAATTCCTCTTTGTCATTTCAATGGTTTGGAAAGAGCATGAAAATGCGCTTCTTAATAAAATTTGAAATAACTAAACATTAGTGACTTTAGATATTTTAATAAAATAATAATATAATAATAGTATTCTAATGAATTTTCTATTGAAAATTCATAGAAGTTCATTTAGGAAGTCAAAAAATTATAGAAAAATATCTATAAACTAACTTATTTTATTCACAAAATTTTGATAAAATCGGTTTGCAAAATGGACATCTAACGATTCCAAAACCCCCACTTGTACTGTTGAGTTGTGACAAGCTTATCAGAACCTCCTTGATTCCCTCTTCTCCTTGACGAACCCTCATCAACTCCAGTGGTTCTAAGACCACCTCCAAGTCCTCTATTAGTGTCACCAGTTTTTCTGAACTAGCTGCATGCTCCTTAATCGCTCTAATTAGTTGTGACACGTGGAATGCTGGATGTTTATCGCTATTGTGGGTAATTTCAAATGATAGGCTACTGCTCTAATCCTCTTCAAAATCTCATTTGAACTAAAATACCTTGGGACAAGCTTCTCATTCATCATGTTGGTGACTATCCTCTGTCTGTAGGGTCATAACTTTAAGAACACCCTCTCTTCTATGTTGAATTGGATGTTCTTTTTATGCCCATCTGCCTGTTTCTTCATGATCTACTGTGCCCTCAATAGGTGCCTTTTTAGTTCTTCAAACACCTTATCTCTTTCCTCTAGGTACTGCTTTACTGAAGAGATTGGTGTGCTATGCTGCCCAACATGCACCAAGTGAGGTGGGTCTCGTCCGTATAACACTTTGAATGGGGTCATATGGGAGGTAGAATGATGCGAAGTGTTGTACCAGTACTCCCATGCTAGCCATTTGGCCTAAAGACGAGGCATCTTCGAAATAAAGCATCATAGGTAAGTCTCCAGGCTCTTGTTTACCACCCTCGTTTACCCATCTATCTGAGGGTGTTAAGCGGTATTCCTCTTTAGTACGATCCCTTGCAATATAAACAACTCCCTCCAAAAAGGGCTGAGGAACACCTTATCTTGGTGGACACTATAGACTTTAGTATCCCATGCAGTCTGATCACTTTTTTATGAATGTTGCTGCAATTGTCTCCGAAGTGTAAGGGTGTCGTAGGGGAATGAAATGAGCATACTTGCTCAATTTGTCCACTACCTTCATATCAGATCCATGGAGATCCCCACACATGATTTGGTAGAGCTAAGAGATGCAATAACCCTCTTGGAGTTATGGTCATATACTTGTTCCTCTAACAAACCTCTTATCTGGCTACCAACTCCTCAACATCCTTGTGCATCTCCTTCCAATACAATTCTACGGCGCTCCCAAAATGGCACCTAACAGCGCTCCCATGGAACTCCTAGAGCATGTGTGGAATATGGACTAATGTCATAGGCATCACAAATCTCCCTTGGTATAGAAGCCTCTCACCCTCTAGAGAATAGCCAGGTTGGCTACTGCCATTCTTCAGTAAGTCTGCCCTATCCTCCCTAACTCCTCATCTTGTGCACTTTCCTCCTTAATTGTCCTTGAATCTAACATTAGCGGTATCACACTACAATATCATGGAGCTTCCCCATACATCTGGACAAGGCATTCGGCGCCTTGTTCTCCATCCCGGGTCTATATTGAATTTCAAAGTTATATCCCAATAATTTTGACAGCCACCTTTGGTGCTCCTATGTTACCATCCTCTACTCCAATAAGTACTTCAGGCTCCGCTAGTCCGTCCTGACAATGAAATATGCTGTGCTTCTTTGTTTTCTTTGTTTCCTAGAATTTATAATTAATTAGCTGTAATTTCTTCTCCGGCTATACTTGACAGTAATGAAGTTGTTTCCTAGGAAAGAATTACCTTTTCTAGCATAAAAATCCTGCAGCATAAATCAGGTTGTAATCTCCTCAATGAAATACACTCAAGATTATAGACTTCCCATGATCTTGAAACTGTGAGGGGCAGGGTGGTGGTGTTGGGTTGTGTTTAGATGGAAATTTCCGTTGTGCATCTCACTCACAAACCAAAATCATGGTAATATGGTATGAAATATTTTTTAGAGCAATGCAAATGCAATAATTACCAAAGAAAGCCTATGCAAAATTTGAATTTGATTGATTGGTTTTATGTGTTAAACACCAACAAAGTTATAATAGATCTCAATGTCTCTTTTCAAGTGGAGTGAACGTGTACTATAAGATGTGCATTCTCTTGGTCAATACTTGGTACGGCAACACTCGCTCCCCTCTCCCATTTTTCAAGAGGCAGGGGTGAACTGGACTGTATTTCACTAGTTTTTGAACGGTTGCCAATGGTGTATTGAGTGCTTTTGTATAATTTTCTCTTAATTCTCTTTAACTAGTCAGTTTCTGGAAAGAAACTTAAAAATTTGCCCAGTATTCCTCTCATTTAGCAGAGGTTTCTTTGTAGGCGTAGTAGTGCTTGTTTCTATTAATCCCCGTCTCAACATTACCTTGTCATGAAACTGCCTCCTTATGACTTATGGTACCAACACAAACTACTAAACCCAGTTTTTCTATTATGACATATTGATGTAATTTATAAGATTTTTCTTTTCATGCTTTGCTCAGGTTATGGGCTCACTTTTCTGCTGCATACGTTATCACGGGAGTTGTGTGCTATCTGTTATATTCTGTAAGTTTATTTTTTTGTTAAAATAAATTTATTCATGGTTTATATGCTTCTAAGATTCTTTGGGATGATAAATTGGATGGCTTTTTTCTATTGTTGCCTATATCTTCTATCAGACTAGTAAAACTGGATTAATTCCATCCATATTATCACTGCATGTAATTTTCCTAGAGCAACATTTAATTAATAGAATGATCTTTAGCGATGCACTGAATGGATGCTTTGCTCTGTAGTCTGCTTACCCGCTGATGATATATTCTTATCTATGTCAAAGCAAGGTTTTGATGTAAGATCTTGGACACATTTCTATCTTTGCTTAGTGTTATGTATAAATGCTATGCTATATTTTCTTTGGGGCTTGATGTGAGCATGAAAAACTGATTGTGCTTTGCCACAAGAAGCTAATCATGAGGTTTTATATTTTATCTTGCAGGAGTACAAGTATATTTCTCTTAAAAGGCTTGAACAATTCTATGCATCCAAGCCATTACCCCAACAATACACAGTTGTTGTTACTGGAATTCCTTCACATAGTGGGTGTTCCCTCAGTGATACTATTGAGAGTTTCTTCATGGAGTACCACCCTTCAACTTACTTATCACACGTAGTTGTTCACCGGACAAATAAGCTTCGAGGTCTCATTGTATGAATACTTTTTGTACTTATAATGGTCTTCTAGTCCTCATATCACTATTCAAAAAGTAACTGGGAGTTATACTCCTATCATGCATTTTTTTATCAAATGTATTGTAGGAGTTATTTAAATTTCTTGTTATTGTTCGTTTGTTAGTAATGTTCATTCTTTTGAGAGCCTTGTTAAATAAGAATTATAAGATATTGTCGGATACAAGGAGCTCATGCTTTTGCTAGAACTTATTCATGTTGTTCTTTTTTCCTTCCTGAAAACCACTCTTCAGTGGTAGAATGAGGAAGTACAAATTATGCCTTCTAGGCTAGAATCTGTTTTATAGTTAATAAATGTTTCTCTTTTTATCTTTATCTTCATGTTACAAATTAGTAAGGCAACAATTAGTGGATATTGATTGCAAGACTAACAAGTTCCAGTGTACCACTTTTATACTGATAAAAGAGAAGAAATTTATTATTTTCTCTTGATTACAAGGTAGTATACAGTTCTACTAGTAGGAAAGAATAATGTACTCGGGCTACACAAATTTACACCATTCCGGCTTTCATTCCATCTGTAATTAAAATAAAAAATACTAATGCTTATAATCAGATCCTAACATTTTTAGCCTAGAGTTAATGTTAATAATTGATTTTTTAATTCCATATCACATCGACAGCTTGCTTGTCATATTCATGTTTCCTTTTTTATTTCGATCAGCAGAGATTCTTCTATTTCTGCATTGCTTTCCTATTTCCCTCTATCCACCATCCGTTTTTTTTCCCTTATTTGCATTCCTTCCTGATATCTTATCTGAACCAAAATCTCCATTTTGATTTCTCAGTACTCCACCTCAAGCTAGTTTGAAAATATCTTCCATAACCAGCTTGCTAACAATATTGTCAAGGTGCCTTTTGTGAAGACCATTTGTGAGTTGAATCAACAACTTTTTTGGTTGTTGGAATGTATGTTACTCAAATCATTGTCAAGTTTTTCATTAATGAAGTGCTTATCAACCTCTGCATGGTTTGTTTTGTCGTGAAGAATTGGGTTGTGAGATATTTAGATAGCTGTCTTATTGTCACATTAAGTCTTCATAGGCGATGGAATGTAAATATTTAGTTCCTCTGGAATCCTCTTGATCCAAATTGCTTAACATATTCCATGTGCAAGGGCTCCAAATTTTGTCGTAGCACTGCTCCTATCAACTTCATTAAGTTTTTTACTTATTGTGATGAGATTCTCTTCAACAATGGTACAATAGCTTAATGTAGATCTTCTATCCATAATGTTTCTTGCCCAATTCACATTGATATATACTTCAAATTGGAGTTGTCCTTGTTTTCTTCTCAGTAGTAACCCTTTTCTTAGAGTCCCTTTTAAGCATCTTAAATTCTAAACAACATCAAGGTGACTTGGTCATGGAGAGGAAATTAAATTAGGTCATTGTAATAATGGACGACAAACTGTGCTGGGTTATATAAATCAATGCTAGGTTGAGTAACATGAGGTAGGAGAGAAAGAGAGGATTTAGAAGCATCTTTGACATATGGTTATAAAATTTATCCTCGCTAGTCTATCTTTGCATACAAAAAAATGATATTGACACTAGATACTTCAGAATGGGATGCAACGAAAGGAAACAGTACGAGATACAAATATATCTACTTTTATTTAGGTCATAAACACATTATAGATGATTTGATATGTTGTTGAACTTTTTCTGTACAATAATCACGAGACACTTTCAAATACATTAGCTATGTTGTCGTCAATCATTCCATCATAGCTCTTAGAGGTTTCAACATGCTGTTCTTTTCCATCAACAATTTAGCAATATTTATTGTTCTCGAGTAGAGGGCCAGGACAATGGCATTCTATAAAACCTCGGTCTAAAGATACCCAGGCTATGTAATTGTAAAGATGTCCAGCTCCATATATTCTGCCTGTAGCTTGCTTCAATGATCAGACTATTCTAGATGATGCAAGATCAAGATCAAGGATAGGGTCCACCATAGACTCAACAATGTCACTTTTCATCTCACTACACTTTTATTTTGCTACTTCATTTGTTGATGAATGGAGAAATATGATAGAAAACAGCCACGGAACACAAGAAAATCTGCTGAATTTCAGAGAAATTCAACAATAATGGTGCAGTTTTCACAAAAATCTCTAGGAAAATAAGGAGAAACACACTTGAAATTCAATAAGAGAAGGAAAAGAACAACACGATACAATGAATCTTCAATTTGAGAGGAAGATTCAATTCACCAAATCTCTAGCCGAAGCCTAGAGCCCAAGAACAAACCTTAGATTTGAAATTCAGATTTCACAAATTCAAGATGCCCCTAACTCTAGTAAGAAGAAAGCAATTAAAGACAAAGGAAATTTTCTTAATCCCTAAACAACCCTTGAATTTTTCCTCAAATATTAAGCATTATTAGTGTGTGAGCCCCTCTACTCCAGCCGCCCCTTCCCTGTTAATTCACCTCCCTTGAACCGCCTCCTGTAGGTGAGAACTAGTCCAAGTTGGACCGGTTCAGCTGGCCCTCCTTGGGCCGACATAACATTACTTCCCTCTCAAAGACTCACCTTGACCTCAAGGTGAAATGAAGGGAATTGGTACTTCACCCTGTCATAAGGCTCCCAAGTAACATCGAAGTCGAGAAGGTCCCTCCATCTAATAAGCACTTCTTTATTTCCCTCTTTATCCGATCTTACCCCTCTCGGATCCAGTGGTTCTAAAACCACTTACAATTCTTCTATTAGTGTGGCTGGTAACTCTGCACTAACTGCATGCTCCCCTAGAGCACTATGCAACTGCGACACATGGAAGACTGGGTGTATGGTGGTAGATGGGGGCAACTTAAAATGGTACGACACTGCTCCGATCTTGTTCAAAATCTCGTAGGGGCTGAAATACTTTGGGGCCAATTTCTCGTTCCTCCTATTGCAACTATTCTCTACTTGTATAGTCGTAGTTTTAAGAACATCTCCCCCACTTCAAACTGTATGTCTCTCCTATGTGTGTATGCATGCTTCTTCATGATTTGTGTTCCCTCAACAGATGTTTCTTCAACTCCTCCAACACGTTATCCCTTTCCTCCAAGTACTACTCTTTTGATGAAACTAGTGTGCCCCCCTTCCCACAGTGCACCAAGTGTGCTTGTGTGTGTGTGTGTTGGGGGGGGGGGGGGGAAGGAATTCACGTGGGTTGGTGGGGGGGGGGGGGGGGTCCCTTCCATAAAACACTTGAAACGGGTCATCTGAGAAGCTGAGTGGTAAGAGGTATTATACCGATATTCAGCCCTGCTAACCACTTAACCCACATCCGCGGGGTTTCAGAAGCAAAGCACCTCAAGTAAGTCTCCAAGCTTCTATTTACTACCTCAGTTTGTCCATTTGTCTGTGGGTGGTAAGCAGTGCTTCTCTTAAGTACTGTTCCATGAATAGCTCCCTCCAAAACTGGCTGAGAAACATCTTGTCCCGGTTATAAACTATCGACTATGGAATCCCATGCAGTCTAACCACCTCCATGATGAATACACCATAATGACTGTGAATTTCTCTGACCGTGGTAGGCCATTTATAAAATCCACGGATACTTCCTCCCATACTCTGTTTGGAAGTGCCAAGGGTTGTAGTAACCCCTTCAGAGCCATAGCCATGTATTTGTTTCTCTGGCACACCTCACACTTTGCCATCATCTCCTCCACATCCTTATGCATCCCCTTCCAGTATAACTCAGCAGCCAGTCTCCTGTCTTCTGTACCCCGGAATGATCTCCAACTGCACTCCCATAGAACTCCTGCAGTAGGTGGGAAATATGGATGGAAGTTCGTGGCATCACAAATCTCCCTTGATGTAATAGTCTCTCCCCTCAAGTGAATATCCTGGATGGCTACTCATATCTTACATCAAATCCTCCCTAATCTTAACTCCTCATCCTACATACCCTCTTCGTTGATAGCCCCCCCCCATCCACCACTAGTGGCACTGAAATTACCACCTCCTGGAGCTCCCTAACACACCTTGATAAGGCATCAACTGCTTTATTTTCTTGACCTGGTCTGTACTGGATCTCAAAATTATAGTCCAGTAGTTTGGACTATCACCTCTGATGTTCTTCAGTCACCATCCTTTGCTTTAATAAATATTTTAGGCTTTGCTGGTCTGTCCTAACAATGAAATGCTGACCCAATAAGTAAGGGCACCACTTCTGAATAGCCAACACAATGGCCATCAGTTCCCTCTTATATACTGACTTCAGCCTAGCTCTAGCTGATAGGGTTTGGCTGAAGTATGCTATAGGTCTGTGGTTCTACATGAGTACAACCCCTAACTCATATCCGAATCCATCAGTCTCCACCACAAAAATCTGGCTGAAATTCGAGAGAACTAAAACTAGGATTATAGTCATGGCTCTCTTCAATTTCTCAAAAGCCTGCATTGCTGCCTCTTCCCACAAGAAACTATCCTTCTTTAGTTGCTCGATTAAGGGCCAAGCTATGGTACTGTATCCCCACACAAACCTCTGTAGTAACCTGTTAATCTTAGGAAGTCCCTCAGCTCTCTCAAATTCCTAAGTAGATGTCACACCCCAATTTTGCCCGCCCCCTAACGATTAATTTGGAATATAACAGAGAATGAAAATCTAAACCAGTTTCTTTTTACTAAAACCCATTCTGAGCCACTACTTTCAGAATAGAGTGAGTAAAAGAAATCTATCTAGACTTTCCTAACTTGTTAACCTATCAAATTCCATAATTAGTAATGGGAAGCATATAATGTCTCTTAATGAACATCAAATATAATTGAAGTAAATACAGAGCTCTACTAAAACTTTTAAAATTTACTCACATACCCAAAAGTCTGTGCATCTAGCATAGTTTAAAATTGCGCAATTAGAGGGCGCGCCTCTGCGCAATTCCTCCCAAAAACGCCTCAAAACCTACGCAATTCCAAATCTGCAAGAGGCGTACGCCTCACTGGGACTGAGGTGCGCCTCAGAG